CCCAGAATTCCCCAGCCAGCAAATGCTGGCTGGGGAATTCTGGGAGTTGAAGTCCAGACATCTTCAAGTTGCCAAGGTTGAGAAACACTGGACTAAAGAACCATTCAAGGAACAAGATTTGGTCAAATGAAGGTTTTTCTCTTTTGAATAATTTATTAACATGCCATCCAATTTTTTTTTTACCCTTCTATGTCTACTACATATTGTTAAATAAAATCAAAACGCTTCTGTTGCTTTAAAGTAGCCTAAGAATGATCTTTTGGAGCCAATTCTCTTAAAATATTTATTTATCATTTTCACTATAAATGCACAAGTCTAGTTTTATAAACTATAAGCCAAGGCTGAAATTTCCAGATATAAGTGGTCTTCAACCATAATTCAGACCAAAATTATGGCTGTAATTGTGCTACTTGTTAAGTGAACCCATTGTCTGCAAGGGATCTTTTTTGCCAAAAACCAGAAATAAATGCGTTCCTGGCACACACAAAAATGTTACAAATTGCAGGCACTTGACCACAGGACGCTACAAACATCTGCAGAAAAAACAATCAAGCTTAAAGAACCCCAAATACTTAACAGTTCAACCATAACCTACATATATTCCCTATTTTCTTGTTCTGCTCTTCATAAGCAAATACTTACCTGTAAACTCTTAGGGCAAATTAAAAGAAATTGGATTCAAGAACATCATAATTAAATAAAACTGATTTGAACCTTAGCAATCTTATACATTTGTCCTGACTTACCTATTATCGTCTTACTACAAGCATTCAGGATCGGAATAGAGAGATAGTCCATTTCACCCAATACCCTGAACATTTGAAAAGCATTTGGAACTGTGAAGTGACTCATCAGGTTCAACATCTTGCTCTAAATTGAAATAAATTTCAAATTAACTGGAGGTATCATTGGCTTACAAGAGAAGGATTATAAAATTGTTGTTTGTTATCACAGGGTGTTAACAAATGTCTTTCTCCTACTTTTGCTTTGAAGATTTCAAGTTTTGAGAAAGTACCATATTTTTCAGAATATAAGACACATCATTTTCCCACAAAAAAAGAGGCTGAAAATCTGGGTGCGTCTTATACACCAAATACAGCATTTTTTGCCTCCCGAAATCCTGCCCCTTCACCAAAATGGCCATGCATAGCTTTTAGGCTTTCAGAATGCTCCTGGGGCTAGGAATGGGCCGTTTTTTGCTCAATTTTGCCCCCCGCCCAAGCTCCCAGGAGCATTCTATAAGCCTCCTAAAGGATATGCATGCCCTTTTTTGACAAAAAATGGGCCTGTTTTTGCGAAAAATGGGTCGGTTTTTTGCTCGTTTTCGTCCCCCCACCCCCAAGGGCATAAAGGCTCTTCACGCCCTTTTTGGGGGGGGCAAACACGAGAAACGGGCTGTTTGCAGTGCAAAAACTTCTTTTTTAATTTGCCTCTTCAAAACCATGGTGCGTCTTAAACTCAGGTGTGTGTTATACTCCGAAAAATAGGTAATCAACAACTTCTTTTATGTCGTTTAAAACACCATTTACACCTGAATGCTTATTTCTGATTTCTCACTTTCTATATAGCTATGGTGATTTCATAATTATGTTGTTTTAGTCCGGTTGTCTTTAAACTTACTTATGCTGTTATTTTGATGTTTATTTGTATTGTTTTTATATATGGTTAGCCATCTGGAATTGCTGTGATTAGACGGACAACCATATGCCACATTTTTTGCAGTGTAAGTATAAGACGCACCCAGCTTTTGGGCAGGAAAACAAGGGGAAAACAATCTACCTCTGCCTCCCAGAAATTTGCCTCCTTATAGCAAACATACAGAAGATGTACACTGTTTGTGGTGATACATTTCAGACTATACTTGTACAGATGCTGTTAAAATTGATGTGGCTTTCTGGAAGTATATATTATTCTCTGCTATTTAAAAGAAGATAACAATAGCAATGGGCCTCTTCAGATCAAGCATTTATTTTAAAAAGGTTCTTCATTTTGTTGTTGTCTAGAACAATAATAAAGCAGTCTTTAAAAAATAAGTCTAATAATTTGAACATTCTATAGGCATTTATAGTTATTGAATTGAATTGAATTGATTACATTTGTATGCCGCCCTTTTCCCCGAAGGGGACTCAGGGCGGCTCACAACCCAAGTCAAGGGGGANGGTTCTAATCTCACCGGCTCAAGGTTGACTCAGCCTTCCATCCTTCCGAGGTGGGTGAAATGAGGACCCAGACTGTGGGGGTGATATGCTGACTCTGTAAACCACTTAGAGAGGGCTGAAAGCCCTATGAAGCGGTATATAAGTCTAACTGCTATTGCTATTGCTATAGAAGTTTCTCATGACTTCGGATCCGTCCTTCCCTTTCACCCCAACCTCCCCCATTGGATGATTATTATGGAGAAAAACAGGAAGAAGCAGCATTCTACATACTGTTTTGCTCTTGAATGAAAACTGGGATATACAGTAAATCCAGTAAAGAAATCACAAGTTTATAATTGAGTACATTTTTTTTATTAACTACTTAATTTCCAGGTAGAGCCGATTGCCCCTACTTTGCTAAGGCAGAACTCCTAGCTGACTACCTGGTGAAAAATTTGCCTAACTTCAGGATACACAAGATAGTTCAACACCCTGACAACTGGGAGGTAACGTTATTTCAGTCTGGTTTGCTAATAAGATTCTCTACTTTTGGAATCCGTTAACCAAAATAAGTTTCTTTACAGGTAGCATGAGAGAGAGATGGGATAAATGTATAGTACAAAAAGATAGCTATATGGGAACAATGATGAAGACAGCTAATGAACTCTGCTAACTTTTGAGTTTGGTTATTTGTAACATCAAATGTGTGATGGTTTAGGGGCATAAATAAAGTCTGGGAAATCTACAATACCTTTTTATGGCTTTAATATTTATTGATGGATAAAAGGGACATTGATAATACACAAAAGCTTCATCTGTTTTGCTTCAGTTTAAACAGACAAATTAGATTGTTGTTTCTTTAGAAAGAATCACATAATTTAGATAACAAGTCAGAGATTTAAAAATAAACTCCACAAATTAGTGGCAAAATGAAGCAAAAATATTGTCCACTAGTGGATATTGCTACATTTTCTAGAACCTATTTATAATTGGATGTGGATTAAAGCAGTTAACTGAGGTATTAATAGATTTATCATAAAATATATTTTGTGTTTTTCTGCTAAATACTGAAAGTGAAAAATTATTGATTAAGATACTTAGGTGCACATATACAGTATTTAACCAGACTCTGTTTCCTTCATTTTGTATGGTTCCAGTTCTATTAATTAATATGTGTATGTTTAGCCTAAAAAGGGAAGTTTAAGGGAAAATGATTTCTTCCTTAACTCCAGAGTGCTTAGGTAAAGTTAGTTGGTAGAAATTGCAGGAAAACAGAATACCTTAGGCTGTGATTGACGTATTTTCAGCAAAGATGTGTAGGTTTTTTTCCCCCCATGGAATAATGTGGATTCTTTAGTGAGCAGGGAATTGGACCAAATGATGAAAATATCTCTACCCACTTCATAACTATGTAAATCAAAAATGTTGAATGTATTTCATCTGCAGACTGAGATGACTCTGGGTGTTCAAATATGGGTGCCAAATCTCTATGGAGATTCTCAGTCATCCAGGTCATGGTTGTCTTAAAGGTGCTTTTTTAAGAGGCAAGTGGGCTTTCTGAATTTTTTTTTTAAAGATATTTTGCTTCTCATCCAAGAAGCTTCTTCAGCTCCGATGGGATAGTGGGGAATGGAATATAAATCCTTCCATTTCCCACCGTCTCATCGGAGCTGAAGAAGATTCTTGGATGAGAATTGAAATGTCTCCAAAGAAAAACCAGAAAGTCCAGTTGCCTCTTTAAAAAGTACCTTTGGGACATTGGTACCAAATGTTACGAGGTAGGCAAGTTGCTTTGCTAGTATGTGAACTTTCTTCCATCCTGATGAGTTTGCTAGTATCCACATTCATAGATTCTATTCAGAAACATATTCTTAACACTAGCCTCTTGTACTGTATGAAGGGAGAACGTTTGGATAATTGTAGGGAATGTAAGGATAATTATTTCAACAAGGCAGTTAAAGCCATTTATGGGTGTGTACATATTAGCATTGCATGTTATGCTTAATTTGAGGCCATTTATCTTTAGAAGTGGCTTCAGGAGATCTGTAATGTGAATGGCTGGAAACACAAACGTTCCCCAATTATTTGGAGAGAACTGTTGGACCGAGGAGGAAAAGGCCTTCTTCTAGGAGGATTCAATGAATTTCTAGAACATGCTCAGGTAAAAATTTGCATATCGACTTGTTGCATATTGATTTTCCTGCTAGCTTCTTTTCCTTACTCATCAATCTGTTGGTAATTATTTTCAGACTGACCAAATGTCAATATACAGTATGTTTAATCACACAAAACGTCAGTCAGCTTAATTAAAATTGTTAGGGAATTTAGTGAATGGTAATTTAAATATATCAATAAAATATCTGAATCTCATTGAAGGACATTTGAAACAGATAATATAAAGCAGGGGTGTCAAACTCGATTTCATTGAGTGCCGCATCATTGTTGTGTTTGACCTCAGAGGGGATGGGAGGGGGCATGTGGGCATGGCCAGCTCAACGTCACTCATGCGATCAAATGTCACTTTTGTTAAAACACTTTCCCCTGTTAAAACTGTAAGCATGTCCATGGAGTCACTAGATTTTTTTTGTGGGAACTCTGAAGTAAGTTCAAATCTTGGTGTAAAACAAATCCATAGATCAAGAAGCCGAGGTGGCGCAGTGGTTAGGGTGCAGTACTGCAGGCCACTTCAGCTGACTGCTATCTGCAGTTCGGCGGTTCAAATCTCACCGGCTCAAGGTTGTCTCAGCCTTCCATCCTTCCGAGGTGGGTGAAATGAGGACCCGGATTGTTGTTGGGGGCGATATGCTGACTCTGTANTGACCAGCGGATGGAATACGGAGGAGGCCTAATCTCTTTATCTCTTTGCAGCAAACAATCTGTTTCAGTTTAGCCTGATTAGAAGGGGGGGGGAAAATGTGGCTTGGCCTCCCAGCAATCTGCCTCCTTGCAGCATACAGCAAGTTTCACTTTCAATTTCGGTTTAAGCTCGGGCCTCCTGAGGATCAGTTCTTTCAGGCTGCAGGGATTGCCATAGCCTATTGCCACCTCCACAAGCCCCATTTTCTCCATTTGCTGCAAGAGGTAAATTGCTGGGAAGCAGAGGCCAAAAGGTGGGGGCCAGTGAATGGGCAGGCAGGCTACATTTGGTGTATAAGACGTATCCAAATTTTCACCCTCTTTTTTTGGGGGGGGAAACGTGTGTCTTATACTCCGAAAAATATAGTAAATCAACTACATGAAAATATGTTTCCTCTATCAACGTTCTTGTAAAAAAAAGGAACACGGAAATAATGAAATCACTTCTGTTGTACCACAAGTGTAAAGATTAATATATAATATTTATTTACTTATACATGTAGGAGTCCAACTTACTCCAAACCCAGTCTGGGCAGCTTACATAAAAAAAAACAAGAAATAAAATAGAAAAACAGATCATGGTCACCCAAAAAAAAAAGCCATAAATATTGAGTAAAACAAGAAAGCTGTAGGATTCAACAAACAAGGCCTGTGAGAATAGCTAAATGTTGAAAGACTTCTGGAAAATTATCCATGTGGGAGCTACTACATATTTTTTTTTGGGGGGGGGAATGCTGTTTTAGAGAGCAGGTGCTATTACAAAGACAGACTTCTTGATAGAGCAGTATCCGGAGACCAGGAATACCTCTTGCATACCTGATTTTTCTAGAAAGGCAGAAATAATTAAAGATAGGTAGTTAAGACTCTTCACTATAATTCATGACTCCTGACATTCATAACTCTTAAAATAAATGATTTTTTTCTTCTGTGATGATAAAAGCCATGATCCCTGCAAGTATATTCATACAAACCGAATGCAATAATTGAAAACAGTATCGGTGTTTTACCTCCAAATTTTTCTTAAGTGTCAGTGGTACATCCTTCCCGATACTGCGCATTATGGTTTGTAATACGAACACATCTGATATTTTGTGGACTTGGTCTTGTAAAAGTAACCTATTAAGAAAAAAAATCTCAGAAAAAGAAAATGTAATGGACATAAAACTAATGGAGCAGGTATCATTGTACACATGCGGCCTACACACACAAATAATAACTGACACTATACATCTTCCAATTGAAACAAAATACATTCTAAGCCTTAGAAAGATTAAAAATACAGCTAATTTTCTAGGTTTACTATACACAATTATGGATTGGAAATTTCCGCAGCATTTCCTACACCTGTCTGTTTGTCACATAAGTTGACAGCGTCATAAATTTCATTCAATTACTTTTGTGTCATATGCCTGGTTTAGACAAGCATGATTTCATTTTTCATTTCCTGAAAGTTCTATAGAGTTAATATGTCTGCCTAGATTTGGGGGAAAATATTTTTGTTTCTGTTTTTAAAAATATTGTCACTAAATAAATATCAACTATGACATTAGTTTTCTGTCTGATGGTACTTTGTCTCACGTGAATTTCTGATATTTACTTGCAGAGATACAAGTTTAAGAAATCTGAACAGTAGTAAGTACATTTTCACAAATGTACTGTTTATATATTTTAAATTCCTTCAGCTGACTGTTATCTGCAGTTCAGCGGTTCTAATCTCACCGGCTCAAGGTTGACTCAGCCTTCCATCCTTCCGAGGTGGGTGAAATGAGG